AGCATCTGTCCTGATTTTTGCTTGCAGGGTGTTTACATGTCATCCCATTTATCATTTGTTCACCTCTCATCACCTTCCAAACAGTAAGAAGTCAGTTCTTTTTAAAAACAAAACAAACAAAACAAAGTTTCTTTATTCTGCTAGGGCAATGGAGCACTTTAATTGCACAAACCTAGTGTTAGATGCTTGAATCCCTCCCACAAAATACTGAGTCTGGAGCCACCCATAGAGAGGTGTGTTGCGTGGCTATGAAGGTACAAAGTTAACAGCATTGCTTGGGGGCATTTTTTAAAAAGATGCTGTACTTTCGAAGTAGGGACGTGGGTGGCGCTGTGGGTTAAACCACAGAGCCTAGGACTTGCCGATCAGAAGGTCAGCGGTTCGAATCCCGCGACGGGGTGAGCTCCCGTTGCTCGGTCCCTGCTCCTGCCAACCTAGCAGTTCGAAAGCATGTCAAAGTGCAAGTAGATAAACAGCATTTCCGTGCGCTGCTCTGGTTTGCCAGAAGTGGCTTAGTCATGCTGGCCACATGGCCCGGAAGCTGAACGCCAGCTCCCTCGTCCAATAAAGCGAGATGAGCACCGCAACCCCAGAGTCGGCCACAACTGGACCTAATGGTCAGGGGTCCCTTTACCTTTACCTTACTTTCAAAGTAGGCACTGGGCAGGAGTCGTCTATGAGTATTTATCAAAGTAATTTGCAGTAAATCAGCATGGATTTCCTTCGCAGTTGTTTTTAAAATAACAAATACCAAACAGCTTGCTTGTGTGTAGGAACCAGGAATGGGTTTTTGTGTGCCAGGGCTGCTGGTTCAGGTCCAGTACTGGAAGAAAGTTCCTGGGCTGAGCATGTGCTTAGAAGTGCCCTGACTTCCAAGAAGCTACCCTGTTCCCTCTCCGGCCACCATTTTGTACCTGACTCTAGTTAAAGAGTATTTTGGGGTTCTAAAGCAGGCATAGGCAAACTCAGCCCTCCAGATGTTTTGGGATTACGATTCCCATGATCCCTAGCTAACAGGAGCAGTGGTCAGGGATGATGGGAATTGTAGTCCCAAAACATCTGGAGGGCTGAGTTTGCCTTTTCCTGTTCTAAAGGAACCACCACCAAGTAGATCCTGCAAGCCTTAAGTCTTCCCACCCCAGTTGTACTGAATGTACTGAAAATAGGACAGAGATGACTCTAGTGGAAGAGCAACCTGGGGGCACAGAAGACTTCATGCAGACAATTCCTTGTGGGTTTTCGTGAGCAGCTCTAAACATGGCTTATGTCCCAATGGAAAGAAACAAATGCAAATCTCAGTAGTGATTCCTTGCTCACAGATGCATTTGAAACTGTCTATGTAACTATAAGCAACACTTCACAGCTATCACTGTTTGGGAGATGAACTTCTTAAGGCTACGAAGGTCCCTTCTCATTGTTGTGTTCCAGAAGATTCTTGGGGACAGCCTGCCCTTGTGAATGATCTTTGGTGCAAACACAGAGGGAACTGTTGCCCCCTTTAATGACCTTCTGGAAGCTGGTCAAAATCTTCCATATTAATGTGGCTTCTTGGTCACAGATTGGGTTTAATCCATTGCTCTTAGAGTTGCCACCCCACCCATTGTAATATTTATGTAATTTGCATTTTAAAATTGTTAAATTATGGTTTGCTTTCCAAAGTGAAAACAGGGCACAGAGATGGGCTGTTTCGCATCCCTTTCCTATCTATTTCCACCTCCTGGGGGAAGTCCATAATATTCAATATTTGCAGCAGTTTCCCACATCTATTGTGGAAATATCTAAAGCCCACCCAAATCATTCAAATGTGAATGCAGAGGTAGTAAGAATGCCCACACTACTCCCGTTTCCTTTTTTTTTTTTTTGCCAAGCTGACTTGGCAGTGAGATTGGGGTTCAAAGAACACACACCCCCCCCTCTCTCTCCTCTCTATATATGCTGGAGCAGGAAAGAGTGCACAAAGGGGGTAAACCAGGAGAGAGGAGGAACTGAGAAATGAGACCGCAGAGACAAATTTCAGGAGGGAAACTGAGAAAGCAGGGGCGATGGCTCCATATACCTTTGGTGATAGAGAGTTGGGAGAGTGAAAAGGGGGGATAGCAGTGAAAGTGGAGACCTGCAGTGCCAACAGAACGAAGACGGCTCACTACAAAGCAGAGAGCAAAAAAGAGGGAATTAGAGAATGGGTTAAACACACACTTAAAATTGTAACGAATTCTGCAGAGTACTGAGCGGCTGGGGGCCTTAAGCACTCAAAATAACGCATCTCCAAAGCATTTAAGAGAGTGATTGCACCCTCCAGTGGTTATTATGGGTAAAGCTGCAATATTTTTTCTCCTTGTGTGGTTTGCATGCTGGAAGTGATCTTCCCTTCACTAATCTTACATGTTGTGTGAAATCTATTGTGTCAAGCAAGGCCATACACTGCCCTATTGCGTCAGGTTTCCATACAGTCCACTTGCAGCCTACCAAGTGCTTTTCCCATCAAATCCTCTTTTAGACAGTTATCCAAAGAAAATAACCAGTTGCTAATACGCAGAGAGGATGAGACTATTAATCTCAGGCTTGTGGGTTTAAGGCCCACAGTGGGTGAAAGATTCTTGCACTAGATGACCCTTGTAGTCCCTTTCCAACTCTACAATTCTATGAAATCCTTATGAAATATACTGTAGTTTCACAGGAAGCTAAAGGCGATGGTGAATTTGATGTCCCAGAAGCTAGTGCTAACTATCTAAATCACTCTTGGGAGTAAGATGGTCATGACTTGGGTCCATTGATTTCAATTGGAACATGACTTAGTTGGGATACCACCCAGTGCATTGCATGGCCCATTTGAATGGCCCAGTGTGCTACAGTGAAAAACAATAGAATACCAACAGCAAGAGGCAAACTGATTTGCCTCTGCATCCAATGTTTCCCTTTCTAGAGACAAGCAATTATCTTCATATGCTAGATCAGCAATGCAGTGCGCATTGGGACATTATACAAAGAAAGGGTGCAAACATTAAGGAGGTGGCCGCAAGAAAGAGTTCTGGGCAAAAGGGTTCTCTGCATCAAATCAAATGAAGGATTGAAGGATATGGCAACATAAACCCCCTCGCTTGTTTCGCTTGGGTTTCTTTTTCCAACAAAAATGAATGCACACGTGTGCAAATTCTGCCCTTAGTTTCACTACCCTTCCTGTTGTCTCCAAAGCACTGAATTCTGGATTGTAAGCTTTTCAAGGTGGTGACTTGCCGTCTTTTCACCTTGCAAACCACCAGATTCATTGACAGCTATATAGATCAATTGCCAGTTGCATTGACATTTTCAGTGTGTGCTGAATTAAATTGTTACCCAGAGTATACCCCTGGCTCTTGGAATTGTAAACCAGATGGGACCATGTGAGGATTGGAAAGGAGGCTCGTGCTCTTTCCAGGGGTGGCCACTTTGTGATCTTTGCAGAAGGAAAAGGGACAAGTGTGAATACTGTACATCGCAAGCCAGTCATTGCCCAGTGAGGATTTGGCTGTTTGCTCCCAAGACGTACCTCCCACCAAAGAGTGTTTCATTGTCAGAGCCACCTGCTGCACACTGGGAAGTAGTGCTATTTTTAAAGCATTCCTGGATGAAAACAAGGATTGATGGGATTATTTAATGCTCTTCTATTAAAGAACCCCCTTGAAGGTCAAACTTACTTGAGCAGGAATAAAAACACACTGCACATGATCAGCAGCTTCTCAGCGTGAGAATTCTTGCTAAGGCGGTGAGGAAAAATATGGACGTTTCAGAGTTACGCATTTCCGAGCAAGAAGCTGCCAGACTGGCTGCTTGCTCACAAGTAGCCACACCAGAAACCAGCCAGGACAGGATGCAGGCAGGTAAGGGTTGGGCTGATAAAAGGCCACAAACCTTTAAGGCTCCTCCTGAAGGCTTCTGAGCATCAGAGGCTATCATGGCCAGGAGGAAGGATGCATTGGAGAAGCCTAAAGCAGGCAGTGGTTGCCTTGGAGGATGAAGTTACCTGCTAGGGAGTGGTGGTCTGGGCAAAGTACATCCCCCCCCCCCCCAATAAACAGGGCCTCTCTACTCTGGCAGGAAGACAGAGTGCAACCTGCTCTGGAAGGAGCAGCTTCCCTAGCACTGAAGGCTCTTTTCTAAGGTCACTGAGGCTACAGGTACACATCAAGGCGACTCAATCATCTACCAGCAGTAGCTTTGCAGGATACCTTCATTATCTTTCACGGACTTCTGAGGGCCACTCGAACTGCAGGTCCCAGCAACTGACCCCCATCCGCAGCAATGGAGTGACAAACACACAGACACCACCAAGTAGGTTTTAACCTGGCTTCATTAATTGTTGAGTTGTACATCTGACTTTTGTGGGACTGTTAGGTTTGTTTGTTTTAATAGCACAAGACACCTCAACTCTTGATCATAGCATTACAGTACAAATTAAAAATTAAAAAATAAAAATAAACCGAGCACACCCGCCCCTTAACAGTGTGGAGAAAATGAGAATCTAAGTCTTTACAAGGAATGGGTGGGAATGCCACAAAATATTTACATGAAAGAGCATGAGTTCATCGGCATATACATTTTACACCAGTTTTCACACACAAAAGTGTAAAAAGAAGGAGAGAGAATAAAAAATAAGACACTATATAAATTAAAGAGAAGAGAACACTTGGAGATCACCCAAGACTTCCCTGGGATGGTTCTCTCATGTGGCTCAAAAATGACTCAAGTTTTCCACAGCAGGAAAATAAACGGCACAACAACCATTTCTTGTTCGTTTTGCACTGGAACTACGCACTAGAAAACTTACTGAAGACACTGAAGTTACTGAGCACATGTTAAACTCTTCCATGCCCATCGCCTCAGTTTCCGTAGCACAAGGGTCTGGAGAAAATGTCATGCCGAAGCCACCTTTAGAAAGGAAAACAGAAACCCAGAACCTACCACTCTGTTCCCCGACATATAATGTCACACTGCAGTCAGTCAACACTTTGTCATCAACGTACCTAAGGAGGTGAACTGGGGGTGGGATGGGGGGAAGAGTATGCAAGGGCCCAAAACTCGCTCTTCCGAAAGGGATCAGAGTTCAAAGTGGGTTTTGGCTTTGTGTGGCAATTTCTGCCACGGCTGTGCAATTCTTGATGAGACCCGCCCCCCCTCTGAGGAATAAGCCCCCTCCCTGGTTTTGTCTGCAAAGACATAGGCACAATGTTTTCACTGTCCTCTGCATAAAATTTTAACCTGATTTTGAGGGGAGTGTGGCTGGCAGCTGCTGCCTCTGCGCAACTACCTGGCTGGACAGGACAAGGAGATGTCTGGGCCAAGAGTGGAGCTGTGTGAGGTGGGACACTGGGGGTGGGGGGTACAGTAGACGCAGAAGCGAGGACAGCAAGAGGAAGAACTTTACAGAGGAGCAGGAGGAAACAGGTGCAGACTGGGGAGTAAGCAGGGTTAAGGAAGGAGGAGGAAGGTGAGAAGTACCTGCTAGATCTGCTCAAAGTGCCTATCATGAGCAGGACCTAATTCCCCTCTGAACAGACAGGGAAACTCAGGAGTTAAGACACATGCACCCTAACTGCGAGGGAAATTCAAATCTGGGTATCCAACGGTGGAAAAAAGCAAGCTCTGCTGAAATTTCAGCAAATGGCAATTAAGGTAAAGGCAGTGAGTGACAAAAAGGAGCAAGAACCTGCCAGGTGAGGCCAGAGGTCAGGTTGCTACAGGTGATGAAGGGTTGGAATTTATGGCTGATTTAAGTTGCATTCCTCATTTAGCCTGTCTTCCCTTGCAGGCATTCCTCTACTCTTCCACTGGTATGAGAGGTTACCTGACCACTTCCTTCCCGCTTGCTATTCCCTCTGTGGTGAGAGCAGAGCTGTGGTTGGGTTCAAACACACAGAAACATGGAATGGGGCAAGAGACTTTTCTCTAATGGTTAGAGAGTCCCAAAATTAACCACAGCACATGAGAAGGACTGCATAGTTAATTTTATGGCTTTCTTAGGTGAGGGGAAGAGGGTTTTGTTTTGTTTTTTAAAGGTACTAGCTACTCAAGTGGCAAAAATGTACAGGGAAAGAGGGCGATTGTCACTGCTCCTTCAAGTTTAGGAAACAGTTCCGAATTTAATCGCTTCCTTTTACACTCAAGGCTGTACTGCCACACCATTGCACAACACTTTCTGGACCAACAGCCTCCAAGTCATGTTGGTGATTAGACATAAACAGAGCCAAGCGGATTAAGCGAGGGGTGATAAAATTCAATGACATGATTTTGAAACTGCTCTGACAAAATGGTCTGGCTAAGGGGACTCAAGTATGCTGTTTAAGCACTGTTATGGGAATTACAGAAAGTGGTAGAATTCAAAATCTGACCTGTGTGGGCACTTTATCTCTACAGGGGGATGAGATTTGTGAGCTGAGGGAAATTTCAGTGTTTGCTTAGGGCTGCCACAATGTATTATGATTTACAGGAAGTTGGCTTGGTCCTGATCTTACCTGGAGGGCAGATAATGTAAGGCTGATATATGGAGAGGATACAAGGAAAATTAAGGCTTTCATGAAGACAGAGGCTTGTCCTGTAGCCCTCGCTACCTGAACCTCAAAATATTCTCAACATAATGGGATGTGCCTGCTGGAACTCTGGACAGAACCTCAATAGAGAGCAACACAGCCATTGCAAGAGGCTGAAGAACTTTACATGGCTGGATGCCAAAATCAAATGGACTTTGGGGGAAGTCTGTGCAGGCCACAGCAAGGCTTCTTCTGCTAGTCTGCACAAAGGAGGACAGCTAATTTGATAGCTTGTAGAAAGCAAAGCAAGCTTGCTCAATACAACTGCCAAACTGGAATGTTCCTATTTAGAGATTTCTCCTTTCAACTGCAAAACAAAAAATGTTGAACTTCCTTACCAGGGCAGGGGGTGGAGGCTGAGGTAAACCTGGTTCACAGTGAGTTTTCTGGCCACTAAATTTATGTTTAACACAGTCAGGAGCAATGCCCCTAAAATAAGAATTACCAAATCATGGAAATAATCAAAACCAAGAGAGACAAGCTATTCTTATTGTAATAACCCCAGACAAAGTTGGGAAATCCAAATAACAAAATGACAAGCTGTCTTTGAGAAGTGCTTTGTGCCCTGTAAAATATTTCTCTTATCATCTTAAAGGTGGAATGCTGTTGGACAAAAACTTCAGTTCCAAGGTGGTTTGATCCAATTCCTTTCTTCTGGTGCTAGCGGAAAGGGCCTAGGACAGAGAGATGTCCCAGCTGGATACTTCTTCTGGACTTCAGCCCTGCTACAGAATTTCATCGTTCAAGACCAAGAAAACACACTGCACCTTGGGCTGGGCTCTGGACATTCTGCATCTCATTTCAAGTTCGTAAAAACCAAGCAAAGCCCACTGCGTCTTGCCTACTGGAATGTCACGTGTTTCCATGGTGGCCGCATGGCAAGAGCCTTCATTGCTCTGACTCTTACAAGGTGAAGTGGGAATCCTGAGGCATATATTGGTTCCTGTTCCAGCAAGGACAACATGTTTAAAAAGCACTGCATATTCATATAACTTCACTAGAAAAGCAAACTAATACGCTATCTTGCTTCCACGGGGATCTTTTTTAAAAAACAAAACAAAACATGGGAGATAACAATGCACTGATGCATCAACGGCAGCATGTGGAGAATCAGCAGTCTAAATCCACAGAGTGGTTTGCCTTACTGACATGATGAGGGACGTGCGTATGGTGGAGGACTTGGTCACTAAATCCACACTTACATGCCCAGGCCCTTGTCACGACTCATAGAGAACCAGCAATGATCAGGGAACCACCAGGCAGAACTACAGATTTACTTTGTTAACTGATGATGGAATGATATGTAGCAGGGAGGTTAAACAGCTTATCTCTCGCAGGCCTGCCTTGTTGAAATTCCTGGGCGGTGGGCCAGAGCCCAAATCTTCTGCCACTTCACCATTTCAGTTAGACTCACCTAGCAGAAAGGGTCTGCTATAGGAAACGCACTTGCTGTAAGAAGCTAAGAAATGCAGCTCTCGCTTATCAAACCAAAGCACCATTTACAACAATATCAATGCTGAGTTTCTCTCTCCCCAGACCCCCACCCTGGATTTCTCAATATTTGATGAAGTAGTTTCTTATGTGTTTTTTTACCTTTACCTTTTAAGAAAAAAGAATTTACCTGGGCAACACCACTTTCCCAGCTACCAGTAGGATCACATCTTACTGCTATCAATGGACATATTTCTTATTAGGTTGGGTCTAAGAAGGACGGGAAGAACATTTTAGCAGAAAGGTACCATTGCTTTAAAAATAAAATAAAATCTGGGATTGCAGAAGGGAAGAAATAATGCGAAATAGTCTTTTCCCAGAGTTTGGTGCATTAAGCCTAAAAGAACCAAATTAAAATATTTACTAAATCTTGCCATTCAATAAATCTCTCTCTAGTGATCACATACAAGGGAAGTTTACCTGGAGAAGAAATGTCTGCATCATCCTATCAATACATACATCATGCACAGGGCTCTGAAGCAAAGTGTCAAAGCTATGGGAAATGCCACTGTTCAAAATCTAAGGAAAGTGAGAACCATTTACAGCATGACCCCTGAATCTCAATCTCTGTTTCTGCACTGCCTGGAGACTGATTTTTGTCTTCGAGGTTAACAAAAGCCTGCAAGACTGCTGCAACCTACTTTTTAGACCATGTGAGATAAAACTATACATTTACGATATAAAAAACAGTAAGCGGCATGGGGGCTGGAGGGGAGGGAGCTGAGGGGGCGCTAATGGAGAGGGAGTTGCTTCGATGGGGTACTTTGTGTGTGTGTATCACTGAAAAAATAAACCAGTCCACTGTCCAGCAGAGGCTGCTTACACTCTATACCTTCTGCCCTGGAGCTCACTCTGCATGGATCTCAGTCTCGGGCCTCTGCAGGCAGAGCTCTGTGGGCAGGAATGCTCCCTGGCCCAAGGCTGTGGCGTAAGTCCTACTATGTGGATGAGCCAAGGGAGGGACCAAGCCCCCTCCTGCAGCATAACCCCCTCTTTGGTGCTGAGGCATGGTATGGTAGTCATCCAAGTTATCGTACTGGGACACCACCGTCATAGTGCTTTGGCGCTTGCCAAGGGTTTGGTACGGGTAGATGAGGGCAACGTCCCGCTCTATGTTCTCGGGGTGCTGGAGCCGGAGGCTGTGGCTCCGTTCCGGCTTAGGGGGTGGTGCTGCGGGCTGTCCGTAGTGCTCGCCCTCTTTAAAGCAGTCCCGGGCGTGTTTCTCAGCAGCGGCAGGCGGCCTGGCCCGATGTCTCTCCATATCAGGCCTGTCCTCTGCCAGCTTCACCTCTTTGTGGTTCAGTCTCAAGGCATCGTGGCTGGCTGGGGCATACTTCCCACCGGAGTGCTGGTACCCGGTGGATTCTGGTGGTTCCTGGTGGCCCTTTGGTCGGTAGTCAGCATAAGGGGGCCCGTTTTTAGACTCCAGTGGCTGCCTGTGGCTGGCTTCATGGGGCAGGTGCATCCTGTGCTCAGACGAATTGCAACCCGCCTCATGCGGCTTCCTGCTCCTGAGGCTGCTTTGCTTTTGAGGGAGCGACACTTTCTCTGACTGCCCATTCCCATAGGTTCCGTGGTAATGGGCTCTGTCCACGTCCGGTTCCGGATGTGGCACATAATAGCGCTCCTCCCCTTCAGGGGGCACTACTTTGCCCAGATACTTCCCTTCCTTTCCATCAGCAACCGTGAGGAGTCCAGTTTTCCCAGGATCGGATTTGCTGCGCAGGTGAACGACGTCCACAGTCCTCAGCTCGTCCTGCAGCAGAGGGGCGACGTTGTCGTACTGGGACATGACAGGCCCTTTCACTTTCTGGCGTGCGCGGCTCTCTCGGCGGATGGACTGCATCCGGTACTTCTCCATGTCCTCCAAGTCCCAGGAGACGTACATGGGCTTGGCGTCAGGCGCAGGCGGCACATCCCTGCTAATGAAACTGTGCTCCTTGCCCGCCAGGTGTCCAGCGAGGCCTCCTCGGGGGTAGGGAGGCAGGCCAGGACAGCGATACAAACTCTTGGTCTGCAGTCGGGAGTAGGACGCGAAGTCTCTGCCCGGGAGTGGGTGCAGCGGCCTCAGCCTCATCGTGCCATAAGGGTCCAAGTCATAAAACCCACCGTCGGCCGCCGAGTAGCCGGAGGGGCCAGAGGAGCTTGAATAGGGGCTGTACCGGTAATGGACCCGCCCGTTCTCAAAGTAAGGCTGCAGCTGAGTGACATGGTAATCTGTGTGGGGCTGATATGGCTTATATTGGTAGAGGGGCCTTGGGCAATACAAGGGCTCATCGTCAGGAGGCACCTCGGTGCGGGAGATGGGGACTGACCGGATGGCAGAGGGAGCAGAGACGTGGAGCGAGTGCACTCTCCGGATGGAGGGGTAGGGGGGCGTTTCCTCCACGTAACTCGTGCTCCTCATGGTGGGGCTCATAGAGGACAAGTACTCCACTCGGCTGCGAGGC